GATTCTATCGAAGAAAATCATATAGTCAGGTTATTTGAAATTATGACTTGAGGAGAAAACATTGCCCCATCTTTGGAGGGAATTACCATATCTCTGCCCGAGACCCTTTTTACATCTCATGACTTTTATAAAAGTTCAGGAAAACTTTGAATTAATTTCCAGGTATAAGGTGTATTTTTCCAGATCTGAGGTATTGTCAAAATACCTTTAGATAATCAGAGCCAGTCTCCAATTTATAAAAAAAAAATATATATGTGAACACAAATCAGGAAAGAATGTAGGGGAGGACTCCCAATTCTGGATGTGACTGGCAGCAAACTGTCTCATCAGCTGTAATTAGTCACAAAGTGACAACCATTTTCAGGCATTGCTCAAGATGAAGCCCAAGATTTCCATCCTGGGGTCAGGAAAAGTGAGGATGTGGACTCCACCAGTGATGGCTTCGGCTCTCTTCCAGGGAAGAGCTTCCTGACTGCCAGGGGTGTGAGCTAAGGAAACAGAGATCGGGATTGGGAGCAGTTTCAGCACCTGGACTCCAGGATGGAGCATGTCTTCTCACGTTTGCTGCTGTTATAACAGAATACCCGATGCAAGGTAGTATGTAAAGAAGAGGCTTATTTGACTTGTGACCCTGGTGGTTGGAAGGCTCAAACAGCATGGCATCAACATCCTGGTCAGGATCTTACGGCTGTGCCACAGCATGGAAGAAGAACTGAAAGGAAGCAGCCATGTATATAGGGGAATCAAGGCACGAGGCAGCTGTAGTCTATACAAACCTGCCCTTATGAAATGGCATTGATCTGTCTGTGCATGAGGGTACAGCCTCTATGACCTTATTGTCTACTACGAGGCTCCACCTTTTAAAGGGTCCACCTCCTCAGCACTGCCCTAAGGACATCATGATTCCAGCACTCAAACCTTTGGAAGTAACAAAGTCAGGTGGAGACAAAGAGTTATATGGGGAAGGGCTATGGGGAGCATAAGCCTATCGGAAGGAACTCAGAGAACCTTTAGTAGGACTGGAGTGCATATGCACTGACTGAAACCAGATAAAGCCTCCTAAAGATGCTGTTCCAGAACCAAGAAGATCACAAAGATCACAGTCTGCCAATCCCGAGGGGCCTTGGTGGTCCATCTCAGTCTCAGTAATAGAACCTTGCAAACACTTTGTTACTATTCCAAGTATCCAGCCAACATGTAGAAAGCCTTGGGGAGAGACCATGCTCTCGAGCAAAGCTTGTAAATGTTTTTTTCTATGAAGAGCTCCTAGTAATTATTTATTTATCTAATTATTATTATTAACTGGCAATTATTTTTACATCTGTGAGCTGGACAGTATCTGTGTCAATTACTCAGCTCTCCAGAGCAAAAACAGCCATAGAGAGTATAAACTAAGAGATGTGACTGTGTGCCAGTGTAACCTCATTTGCAAAGAAGAGAAGAGAGACCGTGGCTATGGTTTGTCAATGATAGCTTGAGAGTTCCGATCGCACTTGAAGCTCACACTGGTGCAACAGAGACTAGAATTGAATCTGGTAAGACCTCCATTGGAGACAGAGCTTGGAAGTGAAGTCCTGTGGCAACTAGAGGAACTTAAGAAACAAACTCGCCCAACAAATTGACACGCCAAACCTGCACAAGCTCTAAGCAGGGACAGGGAGCCAGCGATCAGAATAGAAGTGAACAAATAAAAAAAGTCAGAACAAAAGTACACACTTTCCAGAGGAATCTCAAATCCAGAATGCCTTCAGTATATCATCAGTTATGAAATATACAAAGAAGTAGTAGTCAAGGAAAACCATGGTCAAAAGACTCTTGAACCACTCAGATGTTCAGTTTTACAGTCTTCAGGGACCTATTTTAAATATGTTCAAAGGACCCAAGGGAGATATTTCCACAATGAGTGACTATATACGGTGTCTCAACAGAGAAATAAAAGAGATGAAAGTTCTAGAACAGAAAAATTGAGTGAGATGAAAATTTCCCAGGATGCACCTGGAAGACAACGGAGAAAACCAGTAAAAGAGCTTGAAAGGGCAATTCTTCATATTGAAGACCTAGTGATTGAGTTATTCCATATTAATGAACAAACTGGCATACAAATCCACAAAATATAATCCACAAACATCACATGAGTTCTAAGAAACCTTAGTCAGTTGCTCTGAATGAAGATTAAAAAGAAAATCTTGACATGTATTTTTAAAAACACATTCATGCACAGGTAATTAAATCTCCTCATCAGAAGTTCATTTTAAGAACATTTTTACTTGATCCAGGATTCATTTCTACAGCAATTAACACTGTAAAATTGATAATTAGACACTTTACACCTTTAAAAAATCATTTTTGAAGCCTGGTGTGCGTTTTGTACTTGAAGAGTAACTCAGTTTGTACCAGGTACCTTTCAGCAGTCCCAGCATTTAGTGGCTGCTACCTTAGAATTGAACAATTTTAGATAAATGAGAAAGGCAACTAAATATATTGCCAAATATGTAGATCCTCTCCCAAACTAACATACGCTAGTGTTTCAATGTGCTTTCCCAAAATAGTTGTTATCTCAAAAAAGTTTTTGAGTGGATACCTGCCATACTCATTTTTTCATTCAAACATTTACTCAACAAAATTTGCTAAATAAATATCAGGGCCCACTCTTAAAGTTGGAGACATCTGGAGGACACCAAGAAAACAAGGCCCTCTAAGTCAAGAGGACTGAGAAACATAAGAACTCACAGAGAATGAAGCATTGTGCACGTGGTCTGCATGGGTCTGTGCCAGATGGGGTCCTAGAGCTGAAAAGAGAAGTGGATACAAGCCCCATCCCTAATGCAGAAGCAATCTTCAATTGATAACCACATGCAAATGAAAATTTCATTTTCCCCAAGGGAGTCATTCACACTGAGGAAACAAACTACTCTGTCTGGTTTTTCAAGATAGAGTCTCTCTGTGTATCTTTGACGGCCCTGGAACTCACTCTGCAGACCAGGCTGGCCTTGAACTCACAGAGATCCTCCTGCCTCTGCCTCCTGAGTGCTAGGATTAAAAGGAGTGTGCCACCACCACCGGGCTAAACAAACTACTCTTAAGTGTAAGCTGAATGTCCTGCGGTAGATGGCCAACAGAAAATGAACTCAGTGGCATCTTTGAAGGTTCCTTGTCTCAACGTCATATAAAGGCTTTCTTTCCTTCCTTCCTTCCTTCCCTCCCTCCCTCCCTCC